CCCAGGTGCCGACTATCAGCGTGACCCCGCACAGTCCGGGCGTGCTGGACGACAGTCTACAACAGCTGCGGCGACTGAACGCGGCCGTACAACGCATGCGAGCAGCGCCTCTACCACTACTGGTACTCAAACCATTACTTCCAGAGAAGCTAGATGAATAATTCGGAAAGATGAAACACTAGCTCTTCCATGCGGTTTCATCCGCATGATGTTTTAAACACTCTTTTATTTACATTGCGCACTCAATTCCAAATGTTAAAATTCATATGAGACATCGATGGCCTTAACATTGGCTAACAATTACCGTTATATGTATATTATGGCCAAACTATGTTGGCAGCTCGTAGTTTATGGTCTCTTTCCCATATGAATTTTTTTATGCGTGCCAAAAGCGTGTCTTATTGTAGGGAATTTTATTTGTTTAGTAGATATCATTAAATCAAAAGACAATAAATACGTTTAAGAAGCACAAATTTAATTAAAGGAACTTTTAACACGGGAATTAACATAAAGACAATCTCTCAAACTGTTGACAGCTGTCAAAGAGTATACAATAATGACAACACTATAACATTATTGTAAATCAAAGATCAAATAATCATGACTGTTTTGATTTACGCTTTGACACTTAAACATTATTAAAAAAATATATAATTCATTCAACAGTATATTGTAATTGCTGACATCCTAAATAACGAAGTAGTGTTTACGCTTTATTATATTAGTATATATAAATGTAGGTTTGTTTGACAGGCTACTGGTAACAGCCGTCTAAGTACGTCTTGTCCCTCGCTGTGCAAAGATGGCGTGGTAGAGCCGGAGTGTTCCTCCCCCACGCATCTTGACTTCTACCCTCAGAGCCGTAAGGGTAGTGGTGAGTATCCACTGACACATCGCACTTTTATTCATGTATGTTTTTCAGGTATTTTCGTTTGAAGTTTGGCATTTACATAGAAGATTTGAAATGAGAGAGAAAGATGTCCTATCTCTTTTATTTTCATTCTATTGACGCGACTTGAATTAATCGTATTCTCGTGAAAATAATGTTGTTTATGATAAAAACTCAAAAAACATACATTTTGAATTATTTTATGTATAAAGGTAAGATTTAAGTGTTTTTGTTTAAATAATGTTGGTGTAACAGGGGATGCGCGGCAGTGGGGGGGTTGGGGCGGCTGGGGGTGGGACCGGCGGGACGAGGGCCGGCGCAGCTCGTGGGCCGCGCTGGAGCCCGGCGCCAAGCCGCCTGACGCCAGGAGACAGAGAAGGTAATAAATGTACAGTCGCGGAAAACCGCGGTGCACCATGTACAGAAAAGATAATAAATATTTACCTAATTTCATTGTCTCCCTTTCTGTTTTTGTATTAATGTACATTTAAACACATATTATATCCTATAAATCTATACTAATATTATAAAGATGAAATATTTGTATGTATTGAAATAACTCAAAAACTACTAGGCCGATTTCAAAAAGTCCATTAAAAAAAAATTATCAGTGAGTAACAGTATATTATGAGTAACAGTATATTTTTTAAATTTCAAACGGACGAAGTCGCGAGCGAAAGCTAGTACAGAATAATTAGTGTTTTCCTAATTTTTCAGTAACCTGAACGGTCACAGCGCGTCTCTGTCGTCGATGGAGTCCGAGAGCGAGGTGCCGCGCCCCGTGCGACACTCCACACACTCCCTCAACGATAATGATTTAGCTGTGAGTATATTTACATACTGTTCATGTACTAAGATGAATGCTTAGTGCATCTAGAGACAGAAAGACTTTTTAGTAAACTTAGTGTTAGAACTAACAACCATAACTGATTGTTTGACCAACCGTTATGAGCTATTGTTTGAAGTAAATGTTTTTTCCTTTAGAAGAAGCTTTTTACAATGCCCGATGTTCCCAAAACGATTCCGAATTATGCATGGTCAAAGTTTCCCTGGAATATGTAGGAGAAAAGCACATTCGTTGTCGATTCATTGGTCTTTATCCAGCAGTTGTAATAAACAGATGACAGTGTGAAAAAGTTGTATATTTAATGAGATG